ATACCACACTCAGTTTTTTTAATTAATTATTTAATTAAGAGCACCCACTTTATCCTTGAAAAGATTGGACGACCATCAGAACAAAACTCTGCGTTTGATTTTGGGTGCAACATGCTCAACCCCTGTTGTAGCTAAGGAACTGCAGATCACATCAGAATTCCCTCGAAACGGCGTGAGCGAGCCGCAATGTGCCTTCACGAGCGAATGAAAAGAATGGACCTAGGTTTTTGAAAAAAATACAAAATCCCCACTCAACGGCTTAAGACACAAAGATCCTTCAGGATGAGATGAGGTGAGAAGGCAATACTTAAAGAAAGAGGGCTTGACTGCGAAGAAAGGGATGTATTTATACATCCACAGTTATCAATTCACAATCACGCGTGCAATGCAGAACTGAAACTCCTTCATAAGGTGGATAAGAAAGAAACACCTGAATGCAAGCTAAAAGAATTATCATTAGAAACTATAGCTCAAATTACCCTCCTCAATATTGGCTCTATATCTATGGCCATGGATCAGCTGTTAAAAATGGAGCAGGGGTTTTCTCAAGAGAATCCCAAATCAGCGCGGCGGTGGGTAAAGATAGAACCAATTTCGACGGTGAGATAGCGGCGATCCTCATAGCCTTAAGAACATTGTCTAGAAGGCTGAATCAGAGCGCTGATCTCTTCATCGACTCCCAAGCAGCCATCCTCGCTGTTACAAACACGAATGTCTATCGAGTGCTATATTGGAATGTAATTCCCTCTGCTCTAACTTACAGCCCGAGGGACCAATGTGGTCCTATAGTGGATTTCCGGCCATTGTGGAATTCCACGAAACGTTGAGGCTGATACAAGTCTTGCCAACCGAGGAACAGATTTGCCTCAGCCGATACATCCAAAACCTTACGATTCAATACGGCGAATGGTAAAGATGATAGTGGAGGAAGAAATAAGAAAAGCACACTTGGAAAAAGTGGAAAGGAAACGTTATGAGTGTTTGAAAGATAATCCGATTCCAGCTGAACTGCCGAGAAGAGATGCAGTTGCCTGCTTCCGCCTGGCTACTGGTCACGACTATCTGCAGAGTCATCTCTACAAGATAAGAATGGCTGAGGATCCTAGTTGTAAATTGTGTTATCTAGGAAAAGTGGATATAGACCACACTAGACACGTGTACTGCTTTGACGGACATAAGAGAAAAAACATTTTAAATATATATATATATATATATATATATATATATATATATATATATTAAAAATCTAAATTATACTGTGCAGCATGAAGTCGGATGGCCAAATGACTAACGACTTAGGTATAAGAAAAAAAAACTTTATAGAGGGTGTGCCTCAGGAAGGTCTACCGACCCCATCGATACACGGCTTGAATGAAAAGTCACTAGTCAACAGCCGGATTCGAACCTGGGACTTTGATCTTTGAGAGCCAGTGCTCATCCACTGAGCTATCCTGCTCTCTGTATCCTTCAGGTATCACTCTCCAAAGTGTTCTCGCTGCAAATATACTCATCCATAAATTGTATAAAGCGTCTTATTTGTTAATGAATAGAAAACTGTCTATTACTGGTACATTTGCTATAATTAATATGATATTATTTATACCAATAAAGATATTTCACTAATATCTGTTGTAACTAATAGCGAGAACCTTTGCACCGGCGTACTACTATACATAAATTATATAAATAATTAAATAACATAATAAAGTTATGTAATATAATATATGTTATATATTAATATATTGGCTTACCTGCAGACACCTCCGTTCAGGCATGGGCTGGCTTCAGGCTTACACAACGGACCGAAGCTGCAATAAGGACCGAAAAATCCCGGAAAGCAAGAGCACCAGAAATACCTGCAAAAAACATACCAATATTTAAAAAAATAAATTATATGCCCCCTCACACGACTCTTCTAACGATTTTTTCGTCTTTTTTTTAATTATTAAGAAATATAATAATCTGTCATGTGGATAATAATTATAGTGATATGTGAACACATTCACACCATATATATAGAAAATATAAAAATAACAAAAGTAATATAACAATCAAAAACTATGTACGATAAAAAATAAAATAACCTGAAGATAATAAAATTAAAAACATAAAAACACAGTCATACCCATATGCAGCCTAACAATTTAAGAAAAGTTTTAATACCTATATATAAAGTTTTCTTTATCAACCCACCCCATGTTAACTTAGCGAAAGAACTAATTAATTGGGATTAATGTCCTGACATGTAAAGAAAATAACCTGATAGGGGTAAGGATTTTCTAAATAATAACCAAGGATGTTCAACTTTTGTAACAGTATTTATGGCAGAACTAGGTACAGTTTCTAGTAATAACATCGAACATTCTGTGAACCAGTAGATCTCACGAATTTATATATTTTTTTTCTCAATTTTATTATTTAACCATCCTTTTCGTTTTTTTTATTTTATTTTTAATTCAAATCCTTACCTTTAATAAACATTTGTGCGAAATTTGAAGAAAATGGAATAACGTTTTCCCGATATAATGTGGAGAGAGAGGAGAGAACTTTCTTCCCCTACACTCAAACTTACCTCAGATACACTATACCAGTCAGCAGCTAGACCGGATGTGGTACACCAAAAAGTGCACTGGTTTCTTTAAAATTCTTATCTCTTTCGTATAGTTCGATACAAGATATGAACCGATCCACGTCTGAGAGTCCATAGAAAAGAAACGGTCAATCTAGGAGACTTCTTTTCGGGCGACTTGCTTCATTAATGCTTTTAATAGCTTGATAAGTGGTTGCCGCTATGAATGAAAGTATTTCCTTGAGGTTGTTTTCGGTAAGATAGTAAGATCTCTGAGGCTATGTCTTTTTAAATATCATATAGAATATCGTTTGTACGTGTTCCTGAGAAAAGTATTTTTGGAAAATAAATTCAGGAAGCAATCACAATATATTATTTATATGATTACAATTAACCTATTTTCATGAAGAAAGTTAGTTAATCGACTGTTCTACACATCATGAGTGATAAATATTCAGGACGCAGTCTTTTTTAATTTGTTTATTTTTCCCAACGTTTCAATCCAAACATGTGGGTCATCTTCAAGGCGTGGTTTGAACACTAAGGATGTTCAAGTACTCGTGTTGTACTTGAACACCCTCACTGCTCAAACCACGCTCTGAAGATGACCCACATGTTTGGATTGAAACGTTGGCAAAAAAAAAAATAAATAAAAATGACTGCGTCCTGAATATTTATCACCCATAACCTATTTTCAATATGTAATTATCATTACAACTTATGATTATGCAAGTTTATAGCTTGCTTGATATCCATCTGAGTTTTTTAAAAAAAATTGTCCTCCTATTTATTTTTTTATTTCTTAATTAATATTTGATTTTCTATATTAGTGTTAAATCGATACCGATTGTCAGATTAAAAAGTAAATATAAAACTTCAACGAGAGAAGGAAATTAAACAAACACTGAATAAAACTTCGATTTCCGGACTAGAAATGAAACCACGGAGCTTTAACCTTTAACATTTTAAGATTCTTCCTCAATTTAAATTTATAACTCGGACCTTGGGGAAACCAGGTTGCATTTAAAATTGCATAGCATACTGGCTTATCTCTCATATGAATATTTTTTCACTCTATATGACGTTACTCTAGAACTTTAAAGATATTAATTGAACGAACTTATTATTTATTCTTCATTTTCAGTATGAAATCCGTGAGACGAAGTGTATATATTCCTTAATTTACATGAATATATTTTTATTATGAACTTAGCATAGATAAATATCAAGAAGAAAACGAGAGGGATTATTTTATTTATATTAAGGTTAAGATTTTATTTTCAGATAAGATGATAATACCATAAATATATAAATTATTTTTTCCTTTTGACTTAAAAATTTACTGGAATTTTTCAAAAAACATTTTTTCCACCTTAAACATGTATACGCACCTGTCATGGTACTGACAATCATCAGCTGTGTTGGGATAAATAAGAATTGACATTAGAGGCATGAGGAAGGATAGTACCCAGCAGCACCTCTTCCTGGTCATTATTTAATTCCTTGAGATCTTTATATTAGGTAAGGAGATCTCTCATCCAGCACCTTTTTAGTCTCCTTCTGATGGGCATGTCAGTTGTAGTCATGTCGTTTATAAGTCTGTATGTACATGTTGTATGAGATGAAAACGAAAATAGAGAGTACGTATTTGGTGGTCTAAAGTTGATTGTCTTAAGTCGTTATGTAAAGTTTTGTTGTTGACGTACCAGGAAACTCCTGTTACAAGTCGTAAATTTTTTTATTGAAATGACTGTAGTTTTTGTAAGTGCGTCTTTTTTGCCGAACAGTAAATCTGAAAGGCACATGTTCAGATGAGTTTGAGTAAGGAACGGGAATCTCAGTACCCAGTCTCAGTAACGGAATGTCGCGCCACTTATGTATGTAGATACTTTTAGTATGATGACTTTAACAACTTAGGAAAAAAAATTGTTGACAAACTGAGAGTTTGTTGTGGAAAGAAAAGAAAGGAGGAGTTGCAGAAAATAAGAAGGCACAATTCTTCGAAGGATGTTGTGTGGAAGGAGAAAATATATACTATATAAAATATAATATAAAATAATAGTTCCTCAGACTCCACTAGAAGCTTCAGTTAAAAAGAAATACTTTTAGGAAATTTAATAAAACTGGATTTGTTTCAATTCAAGCTAATTTGGTTGGGACGACGCTTATTCTTCTTCTATTTAATATTGGAGGAAAAAGACGTTAAAAAGTATCGATTGAGCATCGAGTAAGTAAAGGAGGTATCGGGACAGTTTCAATTTGCAATAACATTATTATTTTATAGAAGTGTACCTATAATAAAATTGTATGAAAGCACATTATAATGACTATGCACATTATACGTATTGACTAAATTTGTATGGTCCAATGATGCCTATCTCGCGAAAAAAAATAAATAAATAAAAAAAAAAATAAAAAATAATATTTGTACTCACGTGTAGTCGGAATTGATGTAGCAATTCCCAGCGAAAGAGCAGTCGGTGAGAGAACAGCTGTCGTTCCTGACCGGCTCGGTGACCATCTCGTAGGTGATGTTGAAGCCGAAGACATCGAGGAGATGGTCAAGGACTCGGACGTGGTTACCCTCCAGCCGGTCCAGTTCCAGCTCGATGACCAGGAACCTGGAGTTGGTAAAGAGCCATCTTGTGGTGATGGAGTTCTGTTCGGTGACGGACAGCAGAAGAGAGGGGTTCCTCTGAAGACTCGGATCTTCCGGGTCGTAGAAGGCGTACTCCGTGAAGGTGAGGCCGGTGGTGACGAAGAGTTGTGTCAAGTAAACCACGATTTGAACTTCGTCTTCAGGGAGCGCGGAGGAATCGATCAGCCAATGGCATCTAGAGGTATCAATGGAAAGAAAAATACATTAAGTAATTAAACAGATCAAATACTACATTTACTGGTACTGCTGCATATAAAAATATGGAAATATTTTTAAAAGTAAGATAATGGAAAACGTACATACAAATATTCAGCATAAATCGCTATCTATCTAACCTGAATTGAATTCTTCGATGGAATTCCAGCTTAGTTTAGGAACATGTAGATATGAACTTATAAAATTAAACGGTTATATCGATGTAAAATTGAATAATCATTAATATCAGTAAGGTGTTATACACTTTGAAATAGTCTGGCATAGTTCTGGTCTGGATTCAAGTGGAAAGCAAATGGATATTTTTTTGGTACCTTATTAAATAGACAAAGTTTGTCGATCTCCAGATTGAAAACGCCTTAATTCGAGATATTTCGTAAATAAAATAGTTCTTGGTTACGATAAGATAAGATAAGATATTTACTAAATTTTAGGTGGATGTTAATAATTTGATAAAAATGGGTCTGTACCACGGACTAAAAGGTTTATTAAGTTTAAAAAATATATTTCTAACGAAAGCAGGGTGTTAAGTTAATATTATGTGAGGCATTACATTAGACTGTTATAATTATATTTTTAAATTCTGAATTCATACCAGACTGAAACGACAAGAAACCACTCGACATTTGCGATTACTTCAGCACATTCTAGAAAAACGCTCTACACATCCAATTAATTACAAAAGACTAATTTGGACTTACGGAGTTGAGCTGTGGGGCTACACTAAACCATCGAATTCCTCTCGTATCCAATCTCTACAATCCAAAATCCTTCGTAAAATCCTCAATGCTCCCTACTTTGTTACAAATAAAACCATCCATAATGACCTTAATGTTTCTTATGTTTCAATTGGCCCTAATCCAGATACCTATCCTTCCATAACAAACTTCAGAATCATCCCACCCCTCTCGTTTCTAAACTTGCTTCCTCTTCAATTCCTGATGGCACTCCGAGGCGTATGAAAAGAAGATGGCCCAGTGATCTCCTAATGTAGACATATTATTAGAGTCCTACCATTGGGTATTTTCTCAACATGTGTTTCATGTCACTATATCCATGTACGAATTTACTAGATGTATTTTTTTTTATACAGTTGTAAATATCATAATAAATTAATAAAATAAAATTTTAAATTAGGTGTTTTATGCAAAATGCAACTATGGTGAGCAATTCCAGCGAAATATAGAAGCAGTTGGTCTCAGTTATACGCTGCGGTGGGCAGTAACGACCAAATAGTACGTTTAACCAGCCTTCTCTCTCTCTGTAATCGACTGCATTTTCCAGCACCCATAAAAAAAAAAAAAAAAAATTCTAAATCGGTTTCTGTAAAAATATGTCCTGATTCGCAAAAATCCTCAATGCTCCCTACTTTGTTACAAATAATACCACTCATAATGACCTTAATGTTTCAGATCTGGTCCAATCCGGATACATATCCTTTCATAATAAACTTCAGAATCATCCCACCCCTATCGTTTCTAACCTTGCTTCCTCTTCAATTCCTGATGGCACTCCGAGGCGTCTGAAAAGAAGATGGCTCCGTGATCTCCTAATGTAGACAAATTATTAGAGTGCTACCAGTGGGTAGTTTCTCAACGAGTTTTTTACGTCATTATATGTTCTAATTTACAAAATGTATTTCTTTAATACAGTTGTAAATATCATTAGGAAATAAAAAATCTGAATTGTGTAAATATTTTTAGATTTATCTTAAAATAAAATCTTATTGTAAATTAAATGTCATATATCACCACAAGTGAGATTTTTTTTATTCCGGCTCGTGAGTTATATCTTGGTTTTCTATCATGTCAGAGTGTGCGGTCTCTTGTTGCATGATGAATTCCAGCAATATCTCCAGGATAATTTTTATCATAAAATAGCTTTGCCTGGAACTTGGCTAAAACCCTCCATCCCTAAAGGATCCATTCCAAACTTCATTTTCCTCGGCCATACATCAGATCTCGGGAAACCTCTGAGGTAGGATCGTTCTTTGGCTGCCTTCCGCAAACTCCTCGCTTTGACTAAATATTTGCTCGAACTACAAATTTCAGCTACTTTGTTATATAAGGCTGTTTATTGAAACCCTTGTACTGTTACTGATCTTTAAACGCTTTCATTTATATTAAATAATATCAATCAAATTTCGTAATCAACATTTAGAAAACATTGCTGAAATTCAGTACATATATATGTATATATATATATATATATATATATATATATATATATATATATATATATATATATATATATATATATATATATGAGTCACAGGCTGATCTACGGGAGAGAGGAGGGGGCTTTTGTCCGAAGTACCCCCAAAATGGTAAAATATAACCATGTTTAATAGAAAAAAAACTATTAAAAACTATCTCTTAAACTATTATTGTTCGTGTAATTACATTTTACAAGACTTCAAGAATCGCTAAGACACCATTTCATATAGTTAGTTAGTTTCTTTCTTTTTTGAAAAAAATAATTGTCGATATATATTGCTATGTTCCTGGCCTCGCGTTTCTACGGCGAGTAGGAGGTTCCAGGAATCGCATTTATTTGTATTTATATGTATTTATATCGGTCCCAGAAGGGAACCGATCAACTTAAAATATATTAATGATGTATTTAAATGTTAGATACCACAGACCCCCTACTGTAGTATCCTAGATTGAACCATATACTCTTTATTGGATTTCCTTTCTAAAGGTATCATGTTTATAAATTTACTATTTGTTTCTATTACTAATTGGTGGCATGCAAGGTAGAATGTAAAAGTACTACGTTGGTTTACTAACTATTATATTTACAAGCTTAAATAAAACCAAAACCATCTATATACAAAATAATAACTAAACCTATATACATAATGAATAGTTAAGAATCATACTGGAGGAGAATGCTTGATGTTTGATTATAGTTACGTGTTATATTTATTATATTAATTAATGATGTATGGTTGCCAACACAAATTTACATTAGTATAACTAAATGCTTGTTACCACTTAGCTGGTCCTTCATAGTGTTTCTTGGTGTTTCTAGCCGTCATATCTGGATTCCCGGTCTCTGCTCTCCTTCAGCGTCTAGTCCGTCCATCTGCTCTCTCCGGCTGTCTTCGTCTTCCTCCCTCGACTCCCCCGCTTGAAGTCCCCAGAAGAAGTCCTCTCAGCTCCAAGTTCCCAGAAGAAGTGTCCAGTCCAAATTCTCTATCTCCCACCTTTTTTTCATCCCCCTCTCTTTTGGCAGTCTTTTTCCTGATTGGCTGAATATTCTCAACCTAAGGGATGACCACGCCCTCTCCCCCAGGCCAAGGTAAAGCAGCAGGTACAGACTTAGGTATTTCTGGTGGAAGCTGTGAAAAGGTCTTTTGGAATCCTTTTTAAACACTTAGTTGTCGGTCTTTGTCGGTGGTCCTTAAGGGTTTTTATTACCACTTACAAAAGGTTGTCCTAATGGGTTACCCTCAGTCAGGTACCGCCAGATGTGGCCACTTATTTTTATTTATACATTTAAAATAATTATTCCACCGGCGGTCTTTACAATACATAGCAATATATATATGAAAAAATAATCCTTCGAGCTGAAGTCCCTCCCCCAAAAAAAAAAATTAAATCCTGGATCCGCTAGTGATATAAGTCACTTATTTCCTAAGCTAATCCTTATCGATTTTTATTTAACTTACGATAGTTATCGATTCCCTAAAAATACCCTATGAATCCGACGATGATTTTTTTTTCCCCATAACGAATCTAGATATTTAAAAAAATGGTATGAAAATAAGATTATTTCCGAAACCATCTTTTTTTACAAAGTATGCAATGAAACTTGCATTTATTAAGTATTCTTTTCTTTTCTTTTTTTTTTTTTTTTGTCTTCATATTTCCATCCACACCTGTCATGAGCTTGACAATAAGCAGATGTGTTGTAACTAATAAGAAAAATTGACATTTTAGGCATGAGGAAAAAAATAGTACCCAACAGCACTTCTTCTTGGTCTTGATTTATTTCCTTAATTCAGGAAAGGAGATCTCTCATCCAACTGCTCTTTAGTCGTCTCCTGATGGGCATGTCAGCTGTGGTCATTTCGTTAATAAGTCCGTGTAGTTTAATATGAAATCTGGAGTAGAAATCAAGTATGTGTTGGTCGATAGCTGGTTGTCGTAAGTCGTTATGTAAAGTTTTGTTGTTGACGTACCAAGGAGCTCCTGTTATAAGTCGTAAAATTTTGGATTTAAATGTCTGTAGTTTTTTTAACTGCGTCAATTTTGCAGAACCGTAAATTTATGTTTTGTTAAATTTATTTCCATATGGGATTGAGTAGGTAAGTACTAAGTTTTTGTCTTATTTTCAATTTTTATTTGGAAAAAGTGAGTAAAGTATTTTCATTCGCTTGTTTAAGGTCTGTCGTTTCATTTTGACGTGCGGGTCCCAGGTCATCCTTCTGTCGAATATTAGGCCGATATTTTTTTTAAGTATTCTTTAAAAAAATCATCAAAATTTAATTAACAAAAAGTTAATATTTTCCTACCTTTGTATCATGCACAATAAATTCTCTCAAAGACCCTCTAAGCCCTAATCGACTTTCTTTTTTTTTTAATTGTGGATATATGGTTGACTGTAGTGAATAATTAAAGAGAAAAATGGTTAGAGTAGACAGCCAATAAAAAAAAAACATTAAAAATAAATAAGAATATTTATTGTCATTTTTGCTGCCGTTTTAGGCCTTCATCAGGGCTATGAAAAAAAACAGACAACATTAAGTATGAGAAACTAAAAACATTGATTGATAAAAAATAAAAAAATTATTATGTAGGTGAAAGGTAAAGACTTAAAAATATAGGTAGAATAAACTTAAAGTAAAATAAATAACGGCAACAAAGTAGGGAATAACGAAATAAACACATTCAAAATTCGGTGACATAAGTAATGACAAATGAATTAACAACGCAAAGTATACGAATGTATAAGTTAATAAACGCATGTGTAGACTAAAAAATAAATAGGATGAAGCAGTTGCTAAAATATGATGTAATATTATGCTAAAGGAAGTGAGATAATCATAGAATTGTTCTTAATGTTTAAATGGTTTTTTTAAATGTTTCTAAGAATTTTAGGTATCTGGGGTCTACGATAACTAGAAAAAACAAAATTAAAGAGGAGATTAAGGTTTCGCTGAAGGCGGGAAATGCTTGTTATTTTTCTTAGTAAAAATTACTTAGTTCTCGCCTACTTTCTCGAAACTTAAAAATTAGAATTTACAAAACCATTATCCTTCCTACGGTTTTTTGTGAATGCGAAACGTGGCCGCTTACATTAAGGGATGAGCAACGTCTTAAAGTTTTTAAAAATAAAGTATTGCGTAGAATATTCGGACCGAAAAAAGACCAGTCAACTGGAGAATTTAGGCGGTTACACAACGCTGAATCGCGTGAACTGTATCCGGTTAATATAATTGAGGCTAATAAAATGGGCCTGTAAATTTGCTGGGCTAAGTAACGAAAGAATTCCTAAAAAATTAATACGCGCTGTACCAACTGGCAAGCAATCGAGGGTAAGACCAAGGCGAAGGTGGGTAGATTGGACTAAGGCTGATTTGGCAGGGTTGGGTTTAGAAGGAGCCCGGTGGATGAAAGAATGTGGACATCGATTGGTGGTATCGGCATCGAACCTTCGGGTTCGCTAAGCCTTATTATTATTATTTTTAAACGGGTCTTGAAGGTCACTTATTTCCAAAAGAGCCCCTATTAAAGTATTAATGTTATTTAATTACTACTAGAATATTCAATGATTTTTGGAAATATATTCTATACATAAGGAATATTTTTTAAAAATATAAATATATTGGTCCTGATACAGTTGGAATAGAAATTATTGCTTTTTGGAGTTTCTTGAATAATTGTTAATAATTATTAGGGTCCACTTAGGAAATAACGACTCATAAAAACATTATTATGACGCTGTTAGAAAATAATGATGATAAATCTATTCAACGAAAGGAATCCGCTCATATTATTGGGTTTTTGAAAATTCTCTCTTGTAAACCTTACTAATGATGCTCTTGAAATATATAGAGCGTGCCCCGCAAGTAAAGAATAATATTTAAATGGGTGATAGCGAATCTTAAGAGCAACAAGAAAGGTAAAATAAACAATGGCCTAATTTAAAAAAAAAAAATTGGAAAATTTGAGATTTTTATTTTGCAGTAAATCACGTTTTTTTATTTAATAGGAAGTAATAATTTAAAAAATATTTAATTGAGGGAATTAATAATTTCTTTATAGTAAACATGATAAAATATAATTTAAATTTAAGTAGAATTTGTTTTTATTAAAATTTTTTTTTTTCGAAAACACATCTGTTTATCAATTCTGTTTTCGTAAAATCATTGATTATTCGCAATTTTGTTTTATATCCATTCAACTACAGTAACAATTTTTAATTAAATTAAATCCACCAATTTATAAATTATTTTCATGAAATACCCCACTTATCCCTGTTGAAAAAATCCGATACCTTGGACTTCACTTGGACAAATGTCTAACTTGGAATCCTCATACCAGACTGAAACGACAAGAAACCGCTCGACATTTCCGACTACTCCAACACTTACTAGACAAACGCTCTAAACTTCCCCTTAATTACAAAAGACTCATATACTTGATTATAATAAGACCTATTTGGACTTACGGAGTTGAGCTATGGGGCTCCACTAAACCATCGAATTCCTCTCGCATCCAATCCTTACAATCCAAAATCCTTCGTAAAATCCTCAATGCTCCTTACTTTGTCACTAATAAAATAATCCATAAAGACCTCAATGTTCCATATGTTTCCGATTTGGCCAAATCCAGATACCTATCCTTCCATAATAAACTTCATAACCATCCGAATCCTCTTGTTTCTAACCTTGCTTCCTCTTCGATTCCTGATAACCCTCCGAGGCGTCTGAAAAGAAGATGGCCTCGTGATCTTCTCATGTAGACAAATTATTAGAGTGCTACCAGTGGGTAGTTTCTCAACAAGCGTGTTTAATGTAATAATATTTCTCTGTACAAATTTACTTGATGTATTTATACTAATACAGTTGTAAATATCATAATAAAAGTTAAAAAAAAAAAAAAAATTCATGAAAACCTACGTATTAGTACTTTGGGGTGACAGAATATAAAATTTTCTGAAATTCACAAAATATTCGCAATATTACATATATAGGTAAGTTAAAGTAAAAAAATAATAATATAAAAAAAAATAATATAAAAAAAATATTATCTTGTTGAATTCCGTTAAGCTTCATTGGTACATTCCTAGGTATCGTTGTTTTACTGTAGCAGTATATAAGAGAACCAATAAGATCTCTATGAGCTTCCCGTTACAAATGTATTTTTACCAAAACATAAAAGTTTATTATATATATATATATATAAAACACTAAGCATGCATAGAACTCACCTTATAGGTACCGGGAAGGCTTCAGGAAAACTTGGAGTTTGAATGACACCGGTTGGATCGGTGAGTACGCCACCACACTGCTCTGCTGCGACAGACCACAGCGCTACCAGCGAACTCAGTAGCAACAACATCGTATTTTATCGCCGCATATCTGAAACAATAAATACTTTATTAATAAATAAATTCATATTATAAAATTATAAAAAAGGTTATAATTGAAAAAATCCAACTACACAGCCTTGAGTCTCCGAAATAACCCGTCAACGTTTCGCAAATCTAGGCGATTGGATAGAAAACAAAATAAACCCAATATGATATCACTCCATGGCATCTCATACCATTCTGAAACTAATTAAAAGAATAAAGGAAATTTATAATCAAACAACTGATTAGAACCAAACAAAAGTTGATCAGCTGATGGATTAAAACCACCTACCCCCTTCTCTCCAAATTGGCTAAAATATTTGTCTTTCACTGGTCCATGCTTGTTACTGTGAGTTATATAAAATAACTACTAAAATAATCACAATAACTCCTATTTTTAAATTGTGCTGCATATAGCAGCTAGTAAATTTTAGAACGCTTATGGAAACATTATCTCTACAAATATTATTATTTGTGTAATTAAATTTTAAAAAGAACTTCAAGAATCACTTACAGACCATTTCATATTGGTTATTAGTTTCTTTCTTTTTCATTCCAAATAATTGTAGTTATGAGTAATTATCGTAGAGAGAGAGAGAGAGAGAGAGAGAGAGAGAGAGAGAGAGAGAGAGAGAGAGAGAGAGAGAGAGAGAGAAAACGAGTAAAAATCAGGTGTTTGGAGTTCGCGCATGATCTAGCACTTATGGCGGAGAGTGAACAAGAGGCAGTTAATCAGATAAATGAAGGAAATAGCAGAAAGAGCCGGGTTGAAAATATCATTTGAAAAAACCGAAATATTGACAAATAATAATAGAAAAATAGAAAAAAATTGAGACTGAATACGGAAAAATCAGGTTGGTGAAACAGTTTAAATATATTGGGGAACTCGTAAACTACAGTGGGGGATAGATGCAAGCAACACAGATTAGGGAAGTAAAATTGGATAAATTAAGGTTCTTGGTCTGGGGTTTAACAAAAAGAACCTTATAAATTAAAAAGAAGAATTAGGCATTATGAAACAGTCATAAAATCGGTGGGTACTGTGGAGGTAGGTACGGATTTATCAATATGGAATCGGCTCAAGAATCAAATTAACTTGTTTGTTGATTTTTTTTTTTTTTTGGAATCATCCTCCAGAGTTTAATTAAGAACTGAGATACTCTGTATATACATATATAAAGCTTTCGGGCCGAAGCTCCCAAAATTAAATCCTGGATTCCCTAGTCGCAATAAGGTATAGCTATCCCTCAACATTATTGTTAGTGTTGTCCAAGACGAGTCTTGGTCTTGCGCACTTTGTCTTGATCTTGGTCTTGGTTTTGCGCAAGAATCTTGCAGTTACTTATTAGCTAATTACTATAGAGATATTACTGTAATTTTTTAGATAGGAGAAATCTAACAAAGCCCGAATAAAAAATTAGAAGAGTTAAATGCAAAAGTATATTGAGTATAACAATTTTTTACATATAGTAATTAAAATTGTCAAGTATTAGTAACTATTTTGCCATAACTTTTATTTACAACATAGATTTTTTTTAGTAGTCTTGAGGCAAAGTGCAAGACCAAGACCGATTTGTGGCAATACTAATTATTGTACTTGCTCAAGACCTATTTGTTAGGCACAGAAGAGCCTTAATAAGAACATTGAACTTTTTCAATATATTTTTCGTTCCCCAAACATTATCATAAATAGCAGTATTTTACAATATTATAAACATAGGTTAAGGGAAGCAAATGAAGGCCAAAGATTTTTAAAGAAAAAAAAGTTAAAGAAACTCAATAAATAAAGGAATTTCCCTTATTTTTTTCCCTAAATACTGAAGTTTTTGACTGTTTTCTTCAAAATGCCATTATGAAATTACTGCAGTATCTTTGGAGCAGAAAACTGGGGAGACTAGGGGACAAGGAAGGCTCTTGCCCAGGACATTTAATTTATAGTGCGATAGATTGGATCGATCTATTTTTTCTTAGCTTAAGTAAAATATATTTGTTTATGCTTTTTAGTTATTTTAGCATTAATGCACTCAATAAAATGAATTATTATTATTTAGTCATGATATTTATTTCGATATATGTTTCTTAAAATATTGCTGTGAAATGTTTTATTAAAATACTACAAAAACTCATGTACGGCATCTTGGGCTATACTAGAACAAAAAACTCACCTATAAACATATATACAAAATCAAACAAGAACTTACCAAACAATAAATACAACTGTCACATCTTTTGAACTACAGATCTCCTCTCAACAAGCGACTAATCTACACCACTATACTATGACCTATTTGGGCATATGGCAGAACTTTGGGGTTTCACAAAACACACATATACACACAATTCAAACCAAACAATCCAAAATACCTCATTCATCGACATTTTTATCCGCTTTTTCTTTCAAGACCGAAAAACCTGTATTGCTATAGACTGTAGCGCCTAAACGAATGTACCGATTTCAATGAAACTTCGCTAAAGTCTTCTTCTAGATGCGCTTTAAATTCATGTATATAACATATTTCAATGAAAAGCAATTGGAAAAAAAGTTACAAAGGATGGTAAAATTAGATTCCGAATAACTCGAAAAGTATGCACTTTTTTGTCGATATTGTGATAAGATGTTTCAAAGGTATGGTTATTGGTTATTTAAATGTCAGTCCGGCATCTTGGCTTTATCTTAGACAGGAGACTAACGTGGACCCACATACTAGACTTAAAACACAATAAGAGACGATACGGCCAATTATACAGACTACTGACCAGAAAATCTCAACTTTCAATTAACAACAAATTACTTATCTACAAGACAATCCTGCAACCCATTTGGACCTACAGACTTGAACTTTGGGGGACAGCGAAATCAAACGCATCCAATCCTTTTAATCCAAAGTCCTCCGAACAATAGTCGATGCTCAGTTCTATGTAACCAACAAAACCCTACATCATGACCTTAATATCCCATTTGTCCTTGACCTTATCCCTGAAAATTTTTGAAAATTCCATCAGAACTTTATCAATCAACCAAATCCCCTAGCCCAATCCCTATCTAGTTCCACTCATCCATACAACCCTCCTCGAAGGTTGAAGCGGCAATGGCCCAGAGATCTTTTATAGTATTTATTTTGTAGTTCAGGCAATGGCCAGATTCTCCACTCAAGACATGAGTGTATGTGGCTAAAGCGATCTCGTTTAAACTCCACCGGCTTTAGCACCGGTGAGGCGGTTGAGAGAGTAGCGCAGGGATTTGGGTTCCCCGCCTGATTGCATATATTGTATATAGGTATGACTGTATTTTTATGTTTTTAATTTATTTATATTTAGGTTATTTTATTTTTTTATTGTATATAGTTTTTATTTATTATTATTTAGTTATTATTTTACTTTTGTTAATTTTATTTCTTTTTTGTATATACGGTGTAAATTTGTTTATCAATATATCAACATATACATAAGAAAATCAAATATAACAACATTTATCAGTATAATTATTGTCCCTGTGACAGAATATTATATGTCTAAATAAATAAATTAAAAAAAAATGTTTTCCTAAAAAAAAAACTTTGAAAGCGGACAATTAGGAGCAAAGATTATGGTCTCTAGATGTTTTTTATATGCAAATGTTATATCCTTTGTTTTGGTTTTTGATTTTTTAATGTGTTACTAAAGTAATGCTAGTTTTTTTAGCATATTACTAATGATTAAAAAAAAAAATGTTTAGTCCAATAATTGGAATTTCCTTTTATTTCTTTTTCTTTGCCACTAGAAAAGTAATATTTCTTTAAACGTATAATTGTTTAGAAATAATAAATCATGGTGAAATAATTTGCAGCGTTTTTTTGGAATACCATGTTCGAAACTGGTGATTATAAGAGGTTATAAACGCCCGAATAACCGCTAAAAATAGAGTGACAAATAACCGGTTATTTTATAATAACTACCATATCTATTATTATGACTTCGTCTTAAGCTTGTGAAATAATTCACCTGAATAGTACCTACTTGGGAGATGACGGTGGTCCATGTAATCACTTACCTCCGGTGTTGCTGTATCTGTAATACACAGCGCTTACATATTCAAAGGTCCCATGCTCTTCACCAATAAACACAATTTCAATACCCTCAAAGAGAAATCCTCATATGTCATACATGTACATATTGCATATATATATATATATGGATGGATGATTCTCGAACTAAATGACATTTTATAAAAGCAAAATTTTAACTTTTGTCGTTCTAAAAATTCACAATAAGGTTCTTCAAAAACATTTTTTTAGTGTAAACTTCTTTAGGCATGTTTTGCACTTTTTTTTTGTTGAGAGTGAATTAGATTGAGCCGTCAGATATCTGATGTGTAACGCTCTGGTAAAGTCAGCTGGAGTCGACTAATTGAAGGTGGTGGAGCGGACAATAAAGGAGTGTTTAAATGAGGCAAATAAATATTAGGGAAAAATTAATTAACACTTCAATATAAACAATGTAAATTCAAGTCTTCTTTATCATCAGACACGTGTTATCTTCATTGGAATAGTGGGCAGAGCTTAAAATCTAAATTTCCACAATTTCTTTTTCTAAAGTTTTACAATATTTAATATTAGCTACCTAATTTGAGAATTCTCACAGGGGTTTAATTGTGTTGAATTAATCATCCATTCATAAAATTCCATTGAATGAAATATTTATTTATTTGTTTTTATTGTTGCCTCTACCCTGCAGGGTCATTGGCAACACTCCCTATTTATACTTTATTGTAGAACTTTATTATTTTTAAAAATTGTAAGGTTTTTTCCGCGGCGTTTTCGTTGTCGCTGAGGTTTTCTTTTAGACTCTGAGCCATATCGACATTTTTATTTATATTGTTAAATACTGGGCAGTCTTGGATGATGAGTTGGACAGTTCTTTGCACCTTACAGCTCTCGTAAATCGGTCTAGTCCTCTTAGTAAGTAGGCATGTGAAAAATCACAATGCCCAATTCTTAAGCGGCAGAGG